TGCAGTTCAGTGGAGGTTTCCAGCACAACATAACACAGAGGCCCTTATTTTAAATGTATTGCAGGGACTAGTTTAAATGGTGCATTTTAAGTCTAGTAAATCATGTTCCTTTAAAATATTGTATAATATAAGGGGTATGTAACGTAATTCAAGTGAAAATAATGGTTGCTTAAAGGGACACTATAGTCACAAGACCACTTCAGCTCAATGAAGTGGTCTGGGTGCAATGTCCCTCAGATTTTAACCCTGCAGACGTAAACATAGCAGTTTCAGAGAAACTGCTATGTTTATATTTGAGGTTAATCCAGCCTCTTCCTGACAGCCACTAGAGGCGCAACTGCAACGCTGGATGCGAATTACGCAACCATTGCACAAAGCGTCCATAGAAAAGCATTGAGAAATGCTTTCCTATGGACACTTTGAGTGCATTCGGCTCCACTGACGTAGGACGGGGGAGCTGACGTCGGATGGGGAGGAGAGGTCACCAGCGCCGGGAGCCCGGCGCTGGATTAAAGTAAGTAACTGAAGGAGTTTTAACCCCTTCAGCGCCACGGGAGGGGGACCCTGAGGGTAGGGGGACCCTCAGGGCACTATAGTGTCAGGAAAACCGCTTTGTTTTCCTAACACTATAGTGATCCTTTAAATTCAATAAGAAAAATGAAAATAAACAAGTTGACTTGAGAGATTATGTACTGGTGTCTTTTGCAACAGAAAACATGCCATAAACTATGCAAATAACATTGGCAGCTGCTTAAAGAAACACTATAGTGTTAGGAATAGAAATGAGTATTCCTGATGCTATGGTGCCCTAGTCACCGTTTAGGTGACGGAGCCAGTGGTGCCAGGATTTTTTTCCCCTAATATTGACAGCGACTAGAAGCAGGATAACCCTGCAATGTAAATATCACTGTTTCTGTAGTATGGCAATGTTTTCAACTGCAGGATTAAAAGGAGGGGCACATGACACCAAGTACACTTCATTGAGATGAAGTGGTCTGAGTGTCTATAGTGTGAGGTGGGACATAGTCCCCTTAGTTGGCTTCCTTTTGCCATCTTTAGAATAATAAGACTTCAGGACATTCAAGAAAACTTAAGGGCACACTATTGGCACCAAAACTGTGATGGGATTTCAACATGGTTTAAAATTTAGTAGGCCTGAAATCTCCATGTGGCATATACAAGTACAGGTGTTTGTTGTATCTGTTAGTTAGTTACATGTAACTAAGATACTGTCATCAATGTACTGAGCATGTGCATCAACTGTAGTCACATTCCTTTGTCCTTAAAAGGAGTCATACGGTTTGCCCATATGAGGCAATCCTGAATATCCTGTTCACTGATTGGTCTATGGGTATGTGTGGGTGAAGCTAGGAATAGGAGGAGTTATTTTTAATAAATAGCCTGTGCAAACTATGTTCTGCTCTCAGACAATTTTAGAACAGCAGTTCATCTGAGACCCGATCGGTAACAATAAAGACCTTTTTCTTCCTGAACGAACCTGCTTCCATTTCTCTGTGTGTGGCTTCTGCAGCTTTCTCCTGCAACAAAACCACTTCAGCTCATTAAAGTGGTCAGGGTTCAGTGTCCCTGTCCCATTTAGTCCTGTAATTAAAATTATTGCAGTTTTTGAGACACTGCAATAATTACTTTGCTGGACTAAGGCTGCTTTCAGAACTTGACAGCCACTAAAGGGGTTTCCGGGATTATAAGGGACTCTGAGTCCTTTAAATGATACTGGACGTCTTCTTCAAGTGCATGTGGACATCCAACATCAGTGAAACCCCTATAGGAAAGCACTGAGGCAATGCTTTCCTATGAGGAGGGCCTAACACGCTCTCAGCACTTGTCGCACATGTACATTAGGTCCCCCGTCGTATGGCGTCTGAGGAGGAGGCGGAGCATCCACCCAGCACTGAAGGACATCAGCGCTGGAGTCGGGAAAGTGACTAAAGTAGTTAACCCTTTATGTGCCGGGGGGGGAAAGGGGGCGGGCGTAAGGGGTTGATTTCTATTTCTAATTCTATAGAATCCCTTTAAAGCACCGCACTAGGACCACCACTTTGCACCCATGACTATCCATCCTTGTGGGCACTGCTCCCAGGAATGCATTTATATAAGCATTATGCTGCTTACCCAGCATGTGTGCTGTAGTCTGACATATTATGAATGATTCGGTGTTGGTCAGATGGTTAAATGTTTTACTCATTTTTAGCACTATGTCTGCTATGGCCTTCGGTTCTATGGCTGGCTGAATATCATGTAAATTTAGTGCACAAAAGGCAAAGCATTCTGTACATATAATATTAGTTCTAATAAATAAAGAAAAAAGAAACCAAGACAGTGAAGATAACTTTTAAATGTAACCCTTCTAATGTAGTTACATTTAACCCTTTCAATTTACCTACATTGGCACATCTTAAGATAAGATGCATCTTGCTCTATGAATATATTGGTGCCTAAATAGGTACTAAAAACCTACTGCTGGTCTATTTTTCTACAGTGGCATATCCTGGAGATTTTGTCACACCTTACATTTTCCATTTTTATTAAGTTAATGCATGGTGCTTAATTGATTATTAACCAGGGCTACTGCTACATGGTCGCTCTCTCTCTTTCTCTCTCTCTCTCTCTCTCTCTACTTCCGTGTTAAATACAATTCTCTCATATTTCATAATTTTGTTCAGCAGAAGCCAAGCACACATTTTCTCTAGATAGATAGTTACAGACAGACAGAAACAGGAAGACACACACAGAGTTTGCAATACATACAGAGTTCTGTGTAAAGCATTTTTTTTAACCTCCTGTTTTCCCTGAACATGACCCTAGTCATTCTGTACATTAGTGTCTAATTCTGGGAATATGACCTTGGTCATTCTGTACAATTGCTGTTTCATTGTTTGTTCTGAGATTACAGTTAAGGAAAAAAAAAAAGGAGGAAAGTCACGCACAGAGAGAGCAGAGGGTGTCAGAAGGGGTGGAGAATACGGGAGGGATCCCCATGTTTTGATATTGAAGCAGTACCCCCTGCTCATTGGTACTGAGGGATAGTATTCAGAGAAGTACTCAATGTACTTTTGAATGTACTTTTGCTAATGGTGGGTGGGTGTTCAGGATAATGGTGAGGCTTCAGGAAATGTAGTCTGCCTCCTCTGCATGTTTATCCTCCTGTTGATTCACAAGCCCTCACGCCCTCCCTTTTTCTCTCTTTCCCTGTACTAATAACAGCTGCAGCGTGCTAAGGAAAAACATTAGTCAGAGGGTTTCTCAGAAAGAAATCATTTATCGTGTGCTGAAGGGTGTGCGTGGCAGGTGTATAGTTGCACATAAGGAAGACATATACTTTTAAATGCATAAGGACTATAGTTCACAAATGCCTCCCAGGCAGCGTGACAGGCTACTTGCGATTTGGATTGCTGTGCTTGCCTGTAGAACAATAAAAGGGATGGCCAGTGTGTATTACACATGATTATTAGAGGTACTTAAAAAACATAAGCTTCACTCCAGGAAACTTAAAGGGAGGCGCTCATATTAAAAACAAAGTAGCAGGTGTTTGTGGTATCTGCTAGGGATGGGCGAATGCTTCGTCATATTCTCCAAAACACAAGAGCTGGTCACATTCATTCTTTAGCATGCCCAACAAAAAGGAAGAAAATAACAAATTGAAAATACATATTGGAAGCCCTACTATTGTCCTGTTTCTTACACCCACCTCAGGATTTTGTATGAAATTACATCTTCCTTACTCAATGTGTGGCAATAGGTGAACTCATAATAAGTAACTAAGCAAGCAAACCTGGTTCCGCAGAATCACCTAATAACAAGGGGGCACCTGACAGGTGGCATTCTTTGTACTCTTGGTCCATCCATATTTTTATTACCCTCCTCTTCCAAAGTTCAAGGTGATATGGGTTGGGGTGTTTTGCTGGCTTGCTCCCATTATGTTAATTGTCAATCCTTTCTTTAAACATAGGGGTGCGAGTAAAGAATGAGACAGTCATTTGACCAATCTTTTCTTATGTCTAGGTGACACTGTTAATATATGTATTTTTGTTTTTAGTAGGCAGAGAGATTGGAGAGAGAATATGTAAATACCCCTGCTTGAACGTTTGATGACTTCCTCCTAGTGCAAACAGGGTATAGCTACAAGTCACCATCACCTGGACCTTCAGACAGACTATTTATGTAGATTGCAGGATCCCTCAAGCTCTAGGATAAAGCAAGAGAGCTAGGCCTGAGAGCTGCAAGTGTCTTTTTAAAGACAACAGCTATAGCATTGCATGGATACCTACCTGGAAGAAGGGCTGCAGCGGAAGAGGCAGAGGGGACGATACCTACCTAGAAGCTGCAGCCTGGTCAGGTGGAAAAGCTCCAGAAGGACCCCAGTCAAGCTTCAGCGACTGGGGCTGAAGTGATCCAGGGTCCCTGCAAGTGGCTAGAAAGCTCCATCACATTTGGTGGCAGCGGTGTGATGGCTTCCTAGCGACTTGGGAAACATCCATGGGATACCAGCGCATCTTCTTGGGAGGGATAGCTGCAGCGTCCTTTTTGGGAAAGGAGTTCCAGAGGAGAGTGTAGGAGGGATTGGCTGTCTTCGGAGACAATCCATAAGCAGAGGTGCCCACAGACTTGGAGCAGGCAAGCATTGCATGCTCTGACTCTTACTCCGAGAGGAGGTAGAGGTAGACAGCCTACTTTCCCAGCATCAGAATGAAACATCAGCAGAATAGCTGGCAGCAGGGCAGAGAGTTCCTAGACTCTGTCTACAACAGTCGGTGGCACAGGACTCTCGACCACCGTATTGACCACCTCCACCTGAAGTGCTGACATTGGGACAAAGTGCCACTGCCCCCAACCTACTGTTGTTCCTGCAGGTGTAAGAGTGGGGGAGAGCTCTACATTGGTGGATGAGCCAGAGGAGCTAACCGCACCTCCAGCTGATGAGCTGGCATCGGGACAGAGTGGAGCTGGCCTCTGTCCCCAACTACTAAAAGAGAATAATTGTCCTGTATTGGTGGAGTGGACTACAGTTCCACCCAACCCTCTGGCATGGGGTCCTCAGCCACTCAGACATCTCCCCAGCAGCAGTTGGTCCTTCAGGGAGAAGAGAGTAACGTCGCCCCTCCCCAGCAGCAGCTCCAGTTACCGGGAGTGGAGACAATCGGTCTTTCTCCCCAGCGGCAGCCAGAGCAAATGGGAGCTAAGACAACCGGTCTCACTCCCCAGTAGCAGGCAACGTCACAGGGAGTGGGGACAGCCGGTCTCACTCCCCAGCGGCAGCTGGAGCAAATGGGAATGGAGACAGTTGGTCCCCCTCTCCAGCAGCAGTGCTTGTTACAGGGAGAGGAGACAACCAGTTTCTCTCCCCAACAGCAGTGCTTGTTACAGGGAGAGAGACAACCGGTCTCTCTCTCCAGCGGCAGGTGGAGCAACTGGGACTGGAGACAGTTGCCTCCCCCCAGTGACAGGACAAAGGAGTTCCAAGATGCAGGTGTAAGAGTGAGGGAGAGCTCTACATTGGTGGATGAGCCAGAGGAGCTAACCGCACCTCCAGCTGATAAGCTGGCATCGGGACAGAGTGCAGCTGGACTCTGTCCCCAAGTACTAAAAGAGGATATTTGTCCTGTATTGGTGGAGTGGACTACAGCCTCCACCCAACCCTCTGGCATGGGGTCCTCAGCCACTCAGACATCTCCCCAGCAGCAGTTGGTCCTTCAGGGAGAAGAGAATAACGTCGCCCCTCCCCAGCAGCAGCTCGAGTTACTGGGAGTGGAGACAATCGGTCTCTCTTCCCAGCGGCAGCCAGAGCAAATGGGAGCTAAGACATCCCGTCTCACTCCCCAGGGAGTGGAGACAGTTGGTCCCTCTCCCCAGTGGCAGTGCTTGTTACTGGGAGAGGAGACAGCGGCAGGTGGAGCAAATGGGATTGGAGACAGTTGGTCCCCCTCCCCAGCTGCAGGATAAAGGAGTTCCAAGATGACACATTATGCCGAAGGCTACCAGGTTAGCTGGACGTTTTGGGGTGGGCTACAAGACTAACTCAGGTACAGACTGATTGGAGGTCTGGTACCTAGTTAGTCTACCTTTGGGGGGGAAGATATGTGATGGTAGTCACCATCACCTGGACCTTCAGACAGACTATTTATGTAGGTTGCAGGATCCCTCTAGCTCTGGGATAAAGCAAGAGAGGTCGGCCTGAGAGTGACAAGTGTCTTTTTAAAGACAAGAGCCATAACATTGCAGGCGGATGTAGATACCTGCCTGGAAGAAGGGCTGCAGTGGAAGAGGCAGAGGGGACTATACCTGCTTGGAAACAGGGTTGCAGTGTATGATGGAGACGGGACGATACCTGCCTGGAAGGAGAGCTGCAGCCTGGTCAGGTGGAAAAGCGTCAAGCTTCGGCGACTGTGGCTGAAGAGTTCCAGGGTCCCTGCAAGTGGCTAGGAAGCGGACTAGGCAGAGGTACTCAGTCGGGGTAAGGTCATAATCCATTTAACCCAACAATGGAGAGGATACTGGAAGGTGTGGCTTGCGGAAGGAGACGAACAGCTGGTCTTCCAGGGGATTCCGTAAGGAAACAATATGACTTTCATATTCCCGTAAACATGCCACTGGGCAGAGGAGAGGTCTCTCTGGAAAAGCTGGTTAGAGAACAGGCTTGGAGGAGGTTTTGATCCTTCTAGAGATGTCAAAAAGGATTCCTTCCGGGGGAAAAGAACGGGCATCCGTGTCCAGAGCACGCACATCAGAGACTCTTTTGCATTATATGAGGCAAGAAAGCATGACTAATTTAGCGGAAAGTTGTTTGAGGGACAGCAATACATTGTCTGGCCATGACTCCAGAAAATTGAGGACAAGAGAAACATAGAAAACATAGAATGTGACGGCAGATCAGAACCAATTTTTGTAATACTTTCATTAGTTCCTAACCTTATCTTATAGTTAGGATATCCTTATGCATAAACTCCTTTACTGTGTTAACCTCTACCCCTTCAGCTGAAAGGCTATTCCATGCATCCACTACCCTCTCAGTAAAGTAATACTTCCTGATATTATTTTTAAATCTTTGCCCCTCTAATTTAAGACGGTCCTCTTGTTGTGGTAGTTTTTCTTCTTTTAAATATAGACTCCTCCTTTACTGTGTTGATTCCCTTTATGTATTTAAATGATTCTATCATATTCCCCGTCTCGTCTTTCCTCCAAGCTATACATGTTAAGATCCTTTTACCTTTCCATGTAAGTTTTATCCTGCAATCCATGAACCAGTTTAGTAGCCCTTCTCTGAACTCTCTCTAAAGTATCAATAAAGTAAAGTATCAATATCCTTCTGGAGATACAGTCTCCAGTAATGCATACAATACTCCAAGTGAGGTCTCACCAGTGTTCTGTACAATGGCATGAGCACTTCCCTCTTTCTACTGCTAATACCTCTCCCTATACAACCAAACATTCTGCTAGCATTTCCTGCTGCTCCATTAGATTGTCTCCCTACCTTTAAGTCATCAGAAATAATCACCCCTAAATCCCTTTCCTCATATGTTGAGGTTAGGACTCTATCAAATATTCTGTACTCTGCCCTTGGATTTTTACGTCCAAGATGCATTATCTTGCACTTATCCACATTAAATGTCAGTTGCCACAACTCTGACCATATTTCTAGTTTACCTAAACCATTTTACATTTGGCTTATCCCTCCTGGAACATCAACCCTGTTACATATCTTGGTATCCTCAGCAAAAAGACATACCTTACCATCAAGACTTTCTGCAATATCACTAATAAAAATATTAAAGAGAATGTGTCCAAGTACAGATCCCTTCTCAGTGAGAAGAGTAACGACGCAAAGGAGGATGAGAAAAAATGCACTCCGCGAAGGACGCGAGAGACCAAGGGATGTTGTCCAACATGGATAGCCTCAATGCCTTGATGTCCTGAATAGGAGCCTCAGTTTTGTCTATAAGAACCTTTTTGTATACAGCCGGACAGACGGCTCCTTCCTCTTCCGTTCCTGACAAAAATTTTGTGGTTAAAAATTTTCCTCATATTATTTTTGGCTTTATCCAAAGCCGTAAAGGTGTGGACAAATTACTCCAACTCCTTAACAAATGAGTCACCAAACAGCAACCCTTTAGCTTGAACACCTGGCTTGTTAAGAGCTAAATTGACCAGTTTAGGTTTGATTTTAAGCGAGAAGGACTTGCAGCGCTCTGTAGCAAGCGTGGTATTTACATTGCCAACTAGGCAGATGATACGTTGGATCCAACCATGGATGGATCAGGGACCATAGAGCGAGGGCATTCTGCCCGCAACTTGTTTGGTGTAGCCTTGTCCAAGGGTTTACGGACTCTAGAGGAGATGTACCTTGGTACATACTGCGAAGGGCACCACTCCGCTGAACGCAGGTATCTCAATTCTTATGGATCAAACAGGGAAAAACCCAGAGGATCCAGGATTTTCTCACTGTCACCAGAGCCCGACACACTTCCCTGGTGCCCGGAAACCATAGCGGGGAAGGTGATGCAGGAGGAGCCAGTCACCTCTCCCCCTGCACTGTCGGTGGCTGGGTTAGACTGATCATCTGAGGCGTCCATTATGGACTCATCACTCTCCTCTTCAATATTGCTGAGACCCAACTCAGACGAATGAAGCAGAGCTTTCTCCTGCTTCCATAGTCTAGCCGATTTTGCCCCTCCAGTGGCAATCCGTGACAGCAGGAAGGTTGTTTGTCAAGTCTATTTTGGAGGAATGTTTAGACTTTGCCGTAGCTTTACAACCGTGTGGAACCGATGTCGGTATGGACTCAGTCGACAGGGCAGTCTGCTAAGCAGACTATTGAGCCTGTAATAGGGCTTGAGTAAAGGTGTGTGGCAAAGAAGTCGACATCATGCCCATAGCAGACATCAAAAAAGCCTGCGTCATAGACCTGGACATTAAGGTGTCCAAAACTGCCTGCATGTCTGCAGTAGCCGGAAAATAAGGGGACCTGAGGGGTCGCATGAGACCCAGAGGTCATGGGCAAATCTCTGTCAGACATGGCCGGCACGTCCATAAGGCGGCACAGGCGGCCGCCTTAGGGTGCACCGGCTCTGTGGGCGCAAGATTTCAGTGACCGGCAGGAGGAAATCTTTCACCTCCTGCAAGGCCACCTTTTGGACCGCCAGCACGGCGTGCAGCAGTGGTATAATCAGAGGCGGCGAGGGAGCTCTAATCTCCCCACTCTGCTCCCTCGCGCGCTGATGCTGCGGGAGCCAGAATATGACATCATATTCCGACTCCCGGCATCAGTAGACAGCCCACGAGGGAGCAGAGCGGGGAGAATAGAGCTCCCTCGCTGCCTCTGATTATACCACTGCCGCACGCTGCCCAGCAGCCCCACTGGACCCCTGGGACATATCCACACCAGCTCTACAGGTAGGGAGGCTGGTTGAAAAATGTTTATTTATAAAAAGAATAATTAGTGAGTGTGCATGTGTGAGTGTATGTGTGAGTGAGTGTGTGTGTCTGTAAGTGAGTGTGTCTGTGAGTGACTGAGTGTGTGTCTCTGAGTGTGTGTGTGTGTGAGTGAGTGTGTGTGTCTGTGAGTGAGTATGTTTGTGTGTCTGTGAATGATTGTATGAGTGTGTGCATGTGAGTGTATATGTGAGTGTATGAGTGTGTCTGTCAGTGTATGAGTGTGTTTGTCAGTGTATGAGTGTGTGTTTGTGAGTGTCTGTCAAATCAGTGAGAGTATGTTTGTCATTGAGTCTGTGTGTGACTATCAGTGTGTCTGTCATTGAGTGTCAATCAGTGTGTGTCTGTCAGTGTGTGTGTGTGTCAATGAATGAGTGTGTGTCAGATCAGTGCGTCTGTGTCTGTCAGTGTTGTCTGTGTGTTTGTCATTGAGTGTGTGTGACTGTCAGTGTGTATACACCACTGAGGGTAGCGTGGCGGAGCGCGGTACAGGAGCTTCTGTTTCCTGTACCCGGCCAGACTGACAGGAGGTGCTCACTGAGAGAGCACTCCCTGTCAGTCCGGTTACGTACAGAATCAAGCTCCTGTAGGGGATCTGCTCTGCTCGGCAAAGCTACAAGAGAGGTAGGAGGCACACCAGGAAGGGGAGTGTGACCACTAAGACGGTGGGGTGTACACCAAGGGACAGGGAAGGGAGGGGAGAGAATCACCAAGGGACAGGGAAAAGAGGGGAGAGGGGAGAAGAACACTAAGGGACAGGGAAGGGATG